CATGGTAGTCTTGTGACTATTCGTCCCATCAAATCATCTGTTTTCCCTAACATATTTTGCCATAATTGCAGCGGTTTAAGAGGAAAGCTTAAAAATCTCTTTATTGACGCTAAATCTTGCAATTTCAATATTTTAACTCTTACGGAAACGTGGTTGAACGATTCTTTCAAAAATGAGGAAATACTTGACAGTAATTGGTCTGTATACAGAAAGGATCGTGATTATACAACTACTGGTCAATCCGGGGGTGGGGGCGTTTTGATCGCCGTCAATAATCGGTTACCAAACCAATTGGTATCTACTTCAGTTTTTTCCACATTCGACCATCAATTTATCAAAATATACTCAGGTAGAATCTATACCTATGTGGGAGTGGTTTACTTTCCCCCTAATTCTGACGAATCCTCTTATAACGATTTCTTTACCATATGTAACGAAATATTTTCACAAATGCATGAGGATGATGAGATAGTTGTTCTAGGTGATTTTAATCGGTCGGCTTTATCGTTTATCAACGATGAATATGATAACCATCTTCTTCCAGTCAACTTCATGGAAGACATCGATTTTAATCTCGTTAGTACGTTCTATGGGAACGACTTGCAGCAGGTGGTACGTTACCCAAATGAAAGAGGTAATTCGTTAGACTTAGCTTTTTCAAATGCCTATGACAGCATACGGGTCCGACTTGCTACAGACGAAGAGAACCTTTTCAAAAATTCTATTCATCATAATGCAATTGTTCTCGAATTTCCTAATAACAAACTTAAGTTCTCTAAATCTTACAATAAAGAGATTGTATATGATTTTCTTAACGCCGACTACAACAGCATCAATTATGCTCTTAGCTTAATTAATTGGAACGATATGTTCCATCAGGACAATTTAGACAATATTATCTCCGATTTTTACTCTATTTTGTTCAGATTAATTGACGCCCATGTTCCAAGAATCCTTAAAAAGGATAGACTGGCGGAACCATGGTTAGACCGTAATTTAAGACAATTACGTAACCGGAGAAATAAATTATACAATAAAATTAAGCATTCTAGGGACAATAACTCACTTATTAAGGAATATAATGAGTTGGCGAATGAATTCAAAAATAAATCCAATGAGGCATATGATATTTATATCCAAAATATAGGCAGCTCGATTTTGGGGAACCCGAAAAGATTTTTTGACTTTGTTAACTCCAAACGTAAATCGTCGGGATATCCGAGCTCCATGAGCAAGAACGGGTTAATATCATCTTCTAACTCTGAGATTTGCAATTTTTTTGCCGATAATTTTCAACAAACTTATAGATTAGATTCTCTTTCTAATTATGTCTATACCCCCACTAGTATAGATAACGGTCATCCCCTTTTTAAAGATGTTCATCTTTCAGTAGACAACGTACTTCAGGGTATTTGTGACTTAGAAACCAATAAAGGACCTGGACCGGACCTTATACCGCCTATACTTCTTCATAACTGTAGACACAATTTATCATATCCGCTTACTTTGATTACAAATCATTACAATTACAAATCATTATCCTCTGGTTTTTTCCCGTCAATATGGAAAACTTCATACCTCATACCTATTCATAAAAAGGGGGATAAGACTGCGGTTGAAAACTATAGGGGAATTGCCATTCAATCTGTCATTCCTAAATTACTTGAAAAATTTGTTACGGGTATAATTGCACCCATTGTTAACCCATTACTAAATAATGAGCAACACGGCTTTAGGACTGGTCGCTCTGCGACCACCAACCTTTCAATTTTTACATCCGATATTCTTTCGTTTATGGAAAGAGGGTTTCAAGTGGATGCGATATATACAGACTTCAGCAAAGCTTTTGATCGCATTGATCACGTTGTCTTAGAGCATAAGCTAAGACAATTTGGTTTTAGGAACCCACTATTGGGATGGTTAAAATCTTACTTCACTGAAAGGACCCAATTTGTCAGGTTCCAGGGTGTTAAGTCGAAACCTATCCATGTCTACTCTGGAGTTCCCCAAGGAAGTCATTTAGGCCCTATTCTTTTCAATATCTTCATTTCTGACCTCTCTCAGTGTTTGGCGGGTGTTCCGCATCTGATTTATGCTGATGATCTGAAAATGTATCATATTGTAAGGGATATTTCTGACACTAATTATCTCCAATTAAAGTTAGAACATCTAAATTCTTGGTGCGAGACTAATAAATTGGAACTTAACGTTAAAAAATGTTATGTTATTAGTTTTTCACGTAAGCGTTCAAACCTCTTTCAAGAATATTCACTTCAAAACTCCACTTTAGAACGCGTTGACCATATTACTGATCTAGGTATTATTATGGACAGTAAACTCAATTTCAATTTTCATTATGATTCTATTGTTTCTAAAGCAAGCAAAATGCTAGGTTTCATTAAGAGGAGAGCCAGAGAATTCAACAATACTGAAGTAACTAAATCCCTCTATTGCTCCCTTGTTCGTTCTGTTCTTGAATATGGCAGTATTATTTGGAATCCGGCATTTTCTGTACACAGAAATAAAATTGAGTCGGTTCAAAAACAATTTTTGTTATTTGCTTTGAGAGGCCAATATAACCCCAATGACTTCCAAAATATTCCTTCATATAAAATTAGACTTCAATCCCTGAATATGTTAAGTCTGGAGTCACGCCGGTCTTTGTTGTCTTCTTGTTTTACCTATGATGTCCTAACAGGAAAAATAGACGTGGACAAAATTATTATCAACAACGACGTCAGACCTACCAGACATACTAAATTCTTAAAAGAATATACGCATAGGACTGAATGCTGTACTGTATTCAATCGTTTTAGTCATTTTTTTTCACCAGTAGTTACAAAATACACCTTCAAAAAAAAAATTCATAATTCGCTACTGACCTAGTACAATATCATATGATAATTATATGACCTAATTGTACAATTATTAAGTCATATTAATATTAAATACCTACTCAGCATAAATGATAACATAATAAAATTCTTTCTTTTTATTTATTATTTTTTTTTTTATATGTATCATATTACATTTGTGTAATAAATTCATTTAATGTTTTGTTAGTGTAATTCAACTTGGTCTATAAGTATGTATAATGTATATTTTTGTCAATTTTTGTAAACTATGTAAATTTTTGTAATTATGTAGCATCTTGCTTGGTGCAAATTAAATAAAATAAAAAATAAAATAAAAATAAAATAAAATAAAATTCAGGAAATTTTTGGAGTTGATTTTAGCCATTTGAGGCCTTAGGAGCCAAGTCATACGCAACAAAACAAATTTCCAAAAAAGATAATAATGCTCACTCATTTTCAGTCACAGATGTGGCAAAATGTGTAATAATGTGGAGGATACCATACAATATACAATTGCGATAAGTTTTTAAAAATGAATCAAAACGAAAAAGAGACAAAAATTAAAGAATTACGGTTATGTTTTAATTGTTTGAAAAAAGGTCATAATATAAAAACATGTTATTCCCGCGGTTGCGGAAAATGTAACAAAAAACATAACACCTTATTACATGATGATTATAAGATAGTTCAAAACAAACCACAAATCAATACAACAGTTAATATGGCAGAAGAGAACAGCAACAATTACGTTTTTTGGGCACAGTGCAAGGAATTGTGTTAGATAAAAACAATAAAGAAATCGAATGCAGAATTTTATTAGATTCAGGTTCTCAAATCAATTTCATCAGTGAAAGATTAAAAAAAAGATTGCAGCTGGAACCATCAAATCAAGGGCTTTCAATTTAAGGAATTGGAAAAACAGAAGAAGAATCCAAAGGCAGAGTAAACTTAACAATAAATTCAAAAACAAATCATTTTTCAACAAATATCGAGGCAAGAGATTAAAGAAATAGCCAGTTCGCAACCACAGAGATTTGTAAATATTTCAACTTGGAATATACCGCAAAAAGTACAGCTAGCAGATCCCAATTTTAATAAACCACAAAGGGTTGATGCTTATTAGATGTGGAAATGTTTAGCGAATTATTAAGGGTAGGCCAGATAAAATTGAAAAACATTTGCCCATGTTTCGAAGTACTGTATTTGAGTGGATAGTTATTGGAAAAGTGCATCAAGAAGTTCCATTTGCTGGAGTATATAACAGTGAATTAGAAAACCAATTGCAAAGGTTTTGGGAATTAGAAGATATAAGCACAGATGAAATTATGAAGCCAGCTTATGTGAAATGTGAAGAATATTTTATGAATACATCAGAGCGAGATCAAGAGGGTAGATTTGTAGTAAATCTGCCTATTTTGGGATCTCCAGGGGTGCTTGGGGAATCCAAAAATTTTGCGTTTAGAAGACTTCTAAATCTTGAGAAGAAATTAGGAAAGGATGTAAGACTCAAACGATAATATATTGAGTTTTTAGAAGATTACTTACAGCTAGGACACATGAAAGAAGTGAAATAAGCTGACATTCCGCAAATACACTACTTTATGCCTTATCATGGCGTGTGGAAAACGGATTTGATGCGTCATGTAAATTGACATCATTAAATGATATCATGTTGAAACGGCCGAAAGTGCAAGATTTTATCAGCAGATAAAATCAGTCAGTATCCATTAGCATTAAAGGCTATCAAAGATTTTTATGAAAATGGCTTTATTACGGGATGTAATAGTCTTACAGAAACTATTGAATTGAAAAAGCAGCTAATATTAGTGTTAAAGACAGCAAAATTCCATTTGCATAAGTGGTCTTCAAATAATGACAAAATAATGGAAGATGTTTTTGAAGAAGATCGAGAAAAAGAAAAGGTTTTTGAAAAAAAGAACCCGGTTACACACAAATGATCGCTTCGCTTTCGAGACATCTGTTTTAGAAGATTCAAACAAATTGACAAAACGAAAAGTGGCATCAGAAGCAGCTCAGCTCTTGAACCCTTTAGGGTTGATGAATCTAGTAATAGTTTTAGCCAAAATATTCATTCAAAAGTTGTGGATAATGAAAATCGATTGGGATTAAGAACTCAGTCAAGAAATGCAAAATGAATGGACGAATTTTAAACATGAATTAACCCATTTAAATCAACTAAAAATAAATAGATTCGTTTTTAGTAATAATGCAGTTGTGCGAACCGAGTTACATGAATTTGGAGATGCAAGCGAGAAAGCATATGGAGCAATCGTATATGTAAGGTCAATGGATATCCAAGGGAATATTAATATTAAGTTGCTGTGCTCGAAATCAAAGATAGCACCAGTCAAATTACTAACGATTCCTAGACTGGAACTTTGCGCGGCTATTATGGTAGTAGAATTGGTGTCAAAAGTAAAAAAGGCGTTGGAAACAACTATTGATGAAACCTACTTATGGACAGACTCTCAAATTGTTCTTTCATGGAAAAAAGGCGAACCCAGTTCATTTAAAACTTATGTGGCACATAAATTGGTTGTAATACATGAAAAATCAACAATTAATCAATGGAATTATGTGGCCACAAAAAATAATCCAGCAGATATTATTTCAAGAGGTATGTCAGCCAGCCGAATAATTGACTCTGAACTTTGGTTTCCAGGACCAAAGTTCTTAACATTACAAGAAGATCAATGGCCATTAAGAAGTTTGTCTATAGTAAGGGTAGTAGAAGAAGAAAAAAATACTGTTTTATTGATAAACAAAATGTCCAGCAATGAGGTTAAACATTTAATAGAATTAATTAATCATCGTAATTCATTTGCTCGAAGAGGTTTGCGTAAAAACGCTACAAATTTTGTTGGAGTCAAAAATGAATTAAAAGAGCTAGGAGATCTAATTAACAAATAAAATGTAAAATATGAAATAATCAACCAGAGTGCTCAGAGAGGTATCCAGTTCAACTTTATGCCACCCAGATCTCCTCATTTTGGCGGTTTTTGGGAAGCGGCAGTAAAATCAACAAAGAAAATATTAAGACATGCACTAAAATCAGCTTCCTTAACATTCGAAGAGCTGTGTACAGTAACTGCAGAGGCCGAAGCGGTATTAAATTCTCGACCGATAACACCTATGTCTTCTGACCCAAATGACTTTACAGCATTAACGCCAGGCCATTTTCTTATCGGTGAACCTTTGACAGCAAATCCAGAATATAGAGAATCAAAGCAAAAATTAACGTCATTATCAAGGTGGATGTTAGTAACACCGATTAGACAACACTTTTGGAAATTATGGACTGACGAATATTTAAGCAATCTTTAAAAAAGAAATAAATGGAAAGAAATTAGTGAAAATGTGAAGCCAGGAATGCTAGTAGTTATAAAAGAAGAAAATAATATACCATTAAACTGGTCCATGGGTCGAATTGAAGAAGTAACAAAAGGTTCAGATGGCTTAGTAAGAGTCGTAAAAGTAAGATCTTCTAAAGGAATATTTAAACGAACAATTCAAAACCTAGCATTATTACCAGTAGAAACCCATTCCGAAGAAACGGAAGAGATGACTGACTTCAAAGGCCCAGCAGCCAATATCGAGGCTGAGAAGAAATCACGAAAATTAACCAAAAGAAAAATCAATGAACCAAAGGTGAAACCAAAAAATAAAAAGAAATGTCTACCCAATACTACATTATTTATGATATTAACGCTTTTATTATTTCCTTTAGTAGTATTTGGTGCTTCAGTACCGTATAAGAATACCCAACTTAATAGCAATGGAGTATATTTTGAGAAACCAGGGAATGGACAACAAATCGCAACCAAATGGAAATTAGTAATATAAAGCAGCAGTTATACAAGGTGTACATCAAATGTCAACACTAATAGAAAAAATGAGCAACAAAGAGTTTCCCAGATTAATCCTGGAAAGTTATGAACATAAATTAGAAGAACTTCATGAGAGAAATCAATTCTTGTTTACCAACATGTCACAGCACTATCGACAGAAACGTGGGTTACTCAATATTGTGGCTAATAAAGCAAATAAATTATTTGGAGTAATAAGTAAGAACAATCGCTCAGTCTTATTAAAAATCACATCAATTGTTGAGGCTACAGTTAATTTACCAAAGAAAACAAATACAGAAAAATTACAACAGTTAAACATAATCGAAGATGAAATAGAAGAAATAAACAGAACACTAAAATATTTATTACCCAAGGAACAAGAAAAAAATCTGCAAAAGATGTTTTTAGTGTTGGCTCAAAATGTTTCATTACTTAATAACGAATTAGAAAAAATACAAGTTACGATTTTGGACATAATCCATGATATTCATCACGATAAATTCAGCACTCTATTATTAAAACCAAATCAAGCAGTAGCATATTTAGAAGATTTGATTCAAATAATTCCTGAAGTATACAATTATATAAATTGGCAACAATAAAGTCCAAAATTGCAAAGACATTAGTTATATTCGCGTTATACATCCAATTAATAAAATCATCAGAATTTGAACCAAATGATTCCTTTTCCTCAACTAATTTAGTACATTTTTTAATATTGAAACTAGTAATGAACTTTTTTGGACTAATTTGCATAAAGGTACAGCATATACATTTTCAGATATAGAATGGAGGGACTGCATTTCTGTCAGTTCTGAGAATTTCTTATGTGAACAATTGCGACCATTATATACTAAAGAAACAAAAGAGCTAGAATGCGAATTTAATTTAATAGTTCAGAAAGCATTAGCAGATAAATGCAACATAAAACTAACAAAAAGTAATAAACATTGGGTTCAACTAACAAGAAAGAATTCATGGCTTAATTCATGAGATAAGAAGTATCTTTTTAATATTGTATGCGATGGTCTCGCTTATCAACAAAGGCTTAAAGGGAATAGATTATTGAACATCATACAAACTTTTCAAATATCAAGCAGTGAATACAAGAAAGTCTCGCCTTCAATAAATATGCCACAATTACAAAAAGAATTGAAATTTTCATTATTCAGCAGTATGCATAATAATAGTTTAAATTTAACAAATTCATTTTCTGCCAAATTTGGCAAAATTAAGCAGCAATTACAAGCCTTGAAGAAGCAAGAAAACAGTTTTGAAGCAATGTCATATCATGATAAAGGTCATCATATAGTAAGTTACAGCGCAATTGTAGTCAGTGTTCTTATAATATCAATGTATATTAGTAAGAAATACATATTCAATAAAGATCACAAATCAGTCGAAGGACCACAACATATACAACTAAGAAGATTTCCAGATTTGATGCCAGAGACATCAACGTGGGGAGAATGTTTACGCCAGCTAAAATTATTTTAGTTTTAAGAATAAAATATTGACCGTCATAAAAATTAATGGTTTTTCTAAAAAATATGTTAAATCTTAAATTTGAAAATAATATTATCACAATATATGTCGCGTTTTGGTCATTGTTTATTTATGTGTTATACTTGTTTTTAAGGGTAATTATTTAGATAACGATTCTTATAATTAGTTGAAAAACATAAATAACATTACAGAGAAAAATACAGGAATAGCATAACACATGTTAATCAATCTGGTAAATACATATTTTGAACTACATGTATTGATAAGAAAATGTAATGAATAACATTTAGGCAATAAATCTTAAATAGCGACGAAGGTTGGTTAGGAAGCGCGCGGGCGATAAATCCAAAAGCGTTTGACCTAGAATAGGCGGTTCCCTGGTCTGCGTATGATCCCTGAGGGACGACTGTTTTTGAATCCTGGCAGTAGGTATAAAGTGCAAAATTTAATCATTTGTGCAATGGACAAACAAAAGAATTACCTCAGATGGTAATTCAACTACGTTTGAGAATCCACCCTCTTCGGAGGTCGGCTCTACGGATTCTGGGGAGAGCAATTTATTGCATTTGATTGATTCGTTCAGGAGGAACGCGAAAACCCGGCGTTCACCAACTACATCTGATGGGCAGATCTTAGAAAAGAATAAAAATATAGAAGGTGGACTACCGAAAATTCAAGCTCCACAGACCAATAAGGATATAAACATGAGTAAAGCTCAAGCCAAAAAAGGTGATGATCAGAATGCTGACATACATAAAAGGATTAGCCAACTAGAACAGCTCTGTGTGGCTTTGAAAAACGAGGTTCTTCAACTGAGGGCTGAGAATGACAAGCTAAAGAAAGAGAAACATGTGCAAATTACAAACAATAAGTCTAATGATGGTAGTCATAAAGAAAAAGACACTGCACCAAAAGTAAAGCAGGTGAGGTCAGTCGTGGACGCCTACTCAACAGATGAGGAAGAACTCGCCAGAGAAACAGATTGGATCCTAAAGCAAAAGCGGTCCAGTAAAAAAAGAAAAGCGAAATCATCTCCGGAAGTGGTTCAGGTGACGATCAACCCTGAAAAATCGGATGTTCATGATTCTAAAAGTCAAGGCGATGTCACGAAAAACTCTAGGGCGCCTCCAGTAGTCATAAGTAATGTGATTGACTATAATCAAATAGAGTCAACATTAAAAAATAAGGACATCAATTATAAGGTTAAAATAATGAATAACAATCAACTTAAGCTTATTGTAAATTTCGAAATGGACTACAGGAATCTTACCAGGGCCATGAATGGATCTGGACTAGAATGGCATACCTATGAAAACAAGCAGGCCAGACCAATTAAAGTCATGGTAAGAAATCTTCACCCCAGTTGTAAACCGGAAGATATAAAAGAGGACTTAAGCTCTAGGGGCTACAAGATCTTAGATGTAACCAATAAAATTAAAAAAATAAAAGAAAATGGGAAAAACTTTATGGTGCCTGTACCGCTGTTTATGTTAACATTCTCAAATGATGGGGAGATGAAAAAAATTTATGAAATCGATCACATAAACAGGATGAAAGTTAGGATAGAGGCACTTCGAAAGGATAGGACCATTTCGCAGGGTAAAAGGTGTCAAAGGTATGGCCATACACAAAAATTTTTGCCAGAGAGTACCGACTTGTGTTAAATGTGCAGGCAGGCACTTAACATCAGATTGTAGTAAGCCAAAGTACTACAGCAAAGTGTTCCAATTGCTTGGAGGCCCACCTAGCAAACTATAGGTGATGCCTTGTAGCTACAAAAACGTAGAAATAAGAACAGCAACAAGAACTTGAAGAAGAATTCTGAACGACCACCGAGGAAATTCGCCTCCAGAATGGTCTCAAAAGATGTAACATACAGAGACGTTCTCCAAACGAAAATTAATGATGGTGGCACGAGCAATAAAGCAAGGGCCAGTGACGTGAATGTTTTGTATAAAATGCAGAACATGATGAAATATGATGCAGAACATGCTAAATATGATGAACAAAGTCTCTCAGAGATTGAGCATTTTAGAGAGCGAAGCGAAAAAATCCAGTACCAAAAGACCTGATAAATGATGGCACGAGGTAATTTTAAAATAGCAACATGGAATTGCAATGGTATTGCTTGAAGTTTTTCTACATGCACAGAATATAGACGTGTGCCTCGTAACTGAAACATATGTGACCTTCGTGTCACAGGATTCGGTTTCCAGGTTATAGAATTTACAACTCGAATCACCCTGGAAATATAGCGAAAGGCGGAACGGCGATAATAATAAAAGAAAATATAGTGCATTGCGATCTGCACCAGATGCAAACCTAGGGAATGCAAATGATGGCGGTTCAGATCACTTCGACGAAGCAAAAATTTAGAGTGGGTGCATTATATTGTCACTCCAGATTTGAAATTACGGCAGAAATTTTTCAAAACGTTCTGACAAACCTAGGCGATAGATTTATATATGGGGGTGACTTTAACAGCCAAGCACACTGATTGTGGCTCAAGGAATACCTCAACTAGAGGAAGAGAACTTAGGACAGCAATTGGCGGCA